CACATGTTTCACGAATGATTTCAAGGCAAAGATGTATTGATGAGAATGAAAACTACTCTATGTAACTAGAAATAACTTTCTTTTAAAGGACCACGGACGGTATCGCAACAGATTTCAGTCATATATTGGATTTTGGCTATTTTCTGAGGATTTGAACAGGGGCATATGTTAGGCCAATGCATTAACTCCAGGACAAGCAGTCATAGAGATTATAAAATAATTTGGACTTTAAGACAGGGAAGGTGCAAACACCCCATCAACATGTTTTTTTCTGTAATGTTGTCCTGATTTCCAGCCCTTTCCACACCTGTTTTTCAATGTTTGTTGCATCGATCACTCTGTTGCATTTTGAGACATGGTTAACATCTTTAAATGAAAATATGATTCATGCAGGGATTTTAAAGATATCAATTTCAATTAAGCTGAAAACAATGGATCACATGTGTTTTCCCTATGGGAAAATAACATGGGAAATACATGTACTGTTTTCCACTTTATCCCAAAAAAATCATATTTTAGAGGTTAACTGTGTCTCAAAGTGCAACATATTGGTGCATCAAACATTGAAAAAACATATGTGGAAAGGGCTGAAAATAAAGACAACATTTCAGAAAAACCTTCCCTGTCTCAAAGTCTAAATTATTTTATAACCTCTATGAGTGCTTGATCTGGAGTTAATGCATTGGCCTAACATATGCACCTGTTCAAATCCCAACATATGACAGTTTGAAGACCAAATAAACACCTTTTGCTATATTATGCTATATTAGCATTGTGATGCTTATATTAAAACATGCGCTGTATGAACACTTTGTACTCAAATATTTTATTGATTTATCCCACATACCCCGAAACACGAGTAGCCATAGTGACCATATTTTTCATCAAAGTTAAGATGAGTCAATGACATTTGGCAGTCTCACGCCCGGTGATCTGATGAAATGAATGGTGGGGGGAGTAGCTGATTTCCGGTAAATTCAACAAATGTTGAAGATTTATTTTTTCAAGAAAAAGTTTACAATTGAATGGCTTAATGAATAGGTGCAGTGCACAGGGAAATATGTTCGGTCTTCTTGGATTTTTTTTGAACTGATAGAGTTCTAAGATAAAAAATCTATTAAAAAAGGCGCAGAGTGGCCAACATGCAAATGCCAATGTTTTTGCTATAAATCAAGCAACAATGGTCTGCACGACATGTAATAAATATATAAGCGACATTTTTATCACAAAATTCATTGCTGGTTTTTAAAATAATTTTCCAAATGATAGATAAAAAATAATCGAAAATAATTAAAATTGAACGGAGGGGGGGGAGTGAACGGAGGGGGGGGGAGTAATACGTCTTTAAGATGGAAGAAATTTCCACAAATTCGTGTACTTGAAAAATGAACTCACTTACTGAGTAACTTGATGTTACAACTCTGAAAAGTGAAAAATGGGGACATATGGAGTTATTGGAAGTTTTCATATGTCTTATAGACACATTACTCCCCCCTCCGTTCAATTTTAATAATTTTCGATTACTTTTTATATAACGTATGGTAACATGTTTTACAAAACCAATGATGACAATAGTTTTGTGATAATTACTTCACTTACAAGTATTTATTACAGGTCGTGTAGACCCCTGTTGGTTGATTTATAGCAAAAACATTGGCATTTGCACGTTGGCGACGCTTCACTTTTTTAATAGATCTTTTATTTTAGAACTCGACAGTTAAAAAAATCCAAGACCTAACATATTCCCCCGTCCACTGCGTCTTCATTTAGTCATTCAATTGTAAACTTTCTCTTGAAAAAATAAATCTTCAAGATTTGTTGAATTTCCTACCGAAAATCAGCTAGATCTACTCCCCCTTCCGTTCATTTCTTCTGATCGTCGGGCTTAATTTTTATTTGAGACTATATTTAACACCTCCTGTGAAAATTTGAATGAAAAGGGCACAAAACTCTTAGTTTGAGAGGGATTTTCTCTAAACTTACAGTATTAATTGACCTGGAATGTGGAACCAATTATAGAGACTACTTTTCCATGTCTTTCCAACACGGTTACAGTAAGAGAGTTCGCACAATGGGGGAACTTTAGGGTACAATTTCTTCATAATTAGCCTTCTTTAATTCTAGATACCATATACCATATATTTTCTATTATACCATATACCATATTTTTTACACCTCTTATACTATATACGATAAATTTTGCCCCCTCTTATACAATATACAATAAATTTTCAGCCTCTTATACGATATACAATATCTCTATACACCCCCCCAATAGAGTAAAATTACCAGATGACAGACCCAATTTGGAGATTGTGAAAATCAAAGCAGACCAGTGATTCATTGATATTTCCAATAGACCAATGGAGCATTCATCACCATGCCACATATTCACTATGACGTAATGGCATGTCCAAGGGCAGAAAAAGATTTGAGATTTGAAGTTAATGCTATCTTCAAAAGCTGCTTAAAATTTCAGTAAATATACCCTAGTTCCTAGTTTTGGTTCACCGAAAGAGATCAGAAAGGTCTGTTGTATTTATATAAGTGTAATTTCACTGTTTCATTTTTTCAGTATAATCTACCATGAGACAATTGGAAGGAAGTAAAACGTACCGAGAGTGGTTCACACTCTGGGATTGTCTGTGATTAAACCAATAAATCCCAGGAGTAATACAGAACATTCAGACACCACTGGGATAAATAAACTGTATAAAGGAAGACTATTCTAGATATAGGGACCAAAACAAAAGTTCAATGAAATCACTGGAATCATAAGAACTGTATTAAGGTGGTTTCAAACGACTATTCTTGCCATTAATTTATTGACTTGAAGATGTTTAGTTATTCCAAAATATTTTGCTCCAACAACATTTTGGCCTTCATAAGCAATTTCATCTAAGGAAACAAGTGTCACCTGAATGTTCATTTGGATTGGACAATACTAGAGGTGTCAAGTATTAACCGGTTAACCGGTTAACCGCCGATAATGCCTTGACCGGTCTGTGTTTTTATGGGTGGTTAGTTGACCGTGTATAATTCTGTTATTTCCCGCGCTTATATGGCATGCTAATCTGTTTGGTTTTAAAGTGTCAGTTTCACGTAAGCTACTCATACATGTCATAAGTCCGATAATTCCTTACAAACATCCAATCAGCAACTTTAATCCCTGCCACATTGCTTTCCTGCGCTTTCTTTTGCATGTTAATCTGTTTGTTTTTCAAGCGTCAGTTTCATGTGAGCTACTCATACATGTGATAGGTCCGATAACTCCTTACAAACATCCAATCAGCAACTTTAATCCCTGCCACATTGCTTTCCCGCGCTTACTTTGCATGTTAATCTGTTTGTTTTTCAAGTGTCAGCCATGTGTAATCAACTCATATTGCAAAACAATTTCATAAATAAATTATATGCATTTTTTAATTCGTCAGTTTTGTTATTATTGTTGTCTATCAACGTCGCCAAAATGTCAAAAGTCGAGGAAATCAAAATCAAAATAAACACTAATCAGCTGCAATTCTCGTTGTTATGGTGCGTTCGTGGAGATTCCAAGGGTAAACCAGTGTGGTAAGTAATTTAGAGGTACAGGTAGTGTATGAATAGAATAGAGTAAAGCTTGGCGAACGTAAAAAATCAACGCCGATGTATCATTTTTCCAATTTTTTCAACTTTCAAGATCGAAGATGAATATTTCATTTAATTTAAAATTTCCCGCCGGTTAACCGACTTTAACCGGTAAAAACACCCGGTTAACCGGTTAATGCTCAAGCAGTTAATTGACACCACTAGACAATACAAGAAAAACTATAAGTACATGTAATTAATACAACTGCCATAATTTTTGGTTTTCGAAATTGAATATAAACAGAATACTAAAAGATGTTTATGCCAAGAGAAGTCACATGGTATCTTTGTACCTTATGAACAGTTTGTTACCTTTTGTACTTTGGAAAAGATGACAAAAGTCATTTTAAGTGATAGATTCAGACAAACCAAGCAATATTTTTTATTTAATCTCAATTGTATTTATTACTAGTGTATTTTTATTGTCCCTATTGTATAATAACCACAAGGGCAATGATATTAAAAAAATGTAATTGATGATGTAATCTATTGTGAGATAATAAATGAATAATCAGTATTTCAAATGGGTTTGTGGTCATTGTGCTCATTGAAGGTAATAAACGAGGTATAAAACAAGCAAAATGTCACCTGCCATTTATTACAGATGCCGACTGCCAAACACCATCCAGAAAAAGTTGGAGACTATAACAGTATGCCACCACTTGTACTGACATAGATAATAATTTGATGAGAAAGGAAATTCATCCCAGTCACCTTGTATGCTATACATGCAACACCAAGAAGGGAAATACTTCATTACAACAAAAGTTGTCAAATATACTTGTATATATATATACATGTATATAAATGAACAGAACAACTTGTAATATTTTACATTTTATTAACAATGATTCAGCCTGATAGAGTCGATCCTCCTATTGCATTATAATATACATTGTAATATGATAAATAGAAGGCAGCACTAAAATTGGGATGCACTTAAGTAGATGAATTACGTCATGTGATCGTAAACAACTTATCATGAGTTAGTTATATCTTTACTGCCAGTATGGATACATCTATTCAATATGTGAATGTGCAATGACATCTTTGGACTAGAATAGAATGGAGTACAGACAAGTTGAAAGACCACTTTCAATTCTAATGAATTTGAGTATCTCAAATGATTTGATTTCACAATCTACATATGTAAAGGCTTTTAAGTATATCCAAGTACACGTTTTAAGTCATCATCACACTTTTGGCGTGTGGCTGTCGGCTTCTGTAACAAATGAGAGGTGGTTATATTTGTTAATACCTTGATTCAGAATGTTACATTTGGCAGTCCTCTCATCACTAAATGTGTTAAACTTTGTTAGGCCCTATTTACTCATAAAGTCCCTGACTTAACATAAAAGACAAGTTCTAGTTTGATGACATGTACAAGTCTAATAAGGCATTAACATGCAAAATGTTACTACTTGCCATTTGTAACAGGCACCTAACAACAAACACCAACTGCTGAACACCAACCGGAAAGAAGTTGGAGGAAATATGTCACCACTTTTGGGTGACATAATAACTATTCATATCACATTTCTGAACAATAGTCCACAATAATTCTGAATGCCATAGAAATCTTCTGATCATGATCCAAACAAGATCACCTCTGTTGGTTAAATGTCACATGTTTCATACTTTGTCCCACACACAAGTGTTCAATTCCTGGTACATTGCAATAACTGGTGTGTGTTTACATGGTGCATCACAACAATGGGGGTTGTAGGCTAGGCCAACTCTAATCCAAACATCACCGCGATACTCGATGGGTTTATAGGTTGGGAAGGGTCAGGTTGCGCTTCCTTCTTTTATTGAATTTTGTTGAAATACTTCTACAGTCTCTAAAATGACAGCCCTGAAATAGACGAATGTCAAATTTCAAAACAGGGTGAGTCAAAAAGGTAACATAAAGAAATGTTAATAACTCAGTCATCTAGAATAGGTTTGAAGTCATATTTGGCACACTAAGACCTTGTTTAATGTTCTCTGGTATTCCTACGTTCCATGAGTCTATTCTCAACGGTCAAGACTTATGGACATTTTAGGATAGATACTCCAATGTATGTGCTTTCAAGAGACATGAGGTATTTTGAGTATGTTTTGTAAAGTGGCAATGAAATCATGACCATTTGGATTTATAAGACAAATGAAACATGAATAAAAAAACATTGAATAAGGTTTAATTGTACCAAATGTGACCTTAAACCTATGCTGAATGACTGAGTTATTAAAATTTGCTTGGGTTACCTTTTTTGGCTCACTCTGAATAGTGAATTTTTAACAGATTTATAAAATATAGAGCATGGGGAAGGAGACCATCACAAAACAGTGGATTTATATACAAATACATGTAATGACTGCCACTGAGGGAAATACATGTAGTGCAAACTATTTTCCCCAAGGGATTATCCTGTCCACTCAATTGTTCCTGAGGCCTGTATTTATATCCATTTTATACTCATTCGCTGCATTCACTCGTAGAAATATTCAATATCAACTCATGGATATTGATGCAGGCTGTGAACATGTCAGTGAACAGGATATTCTCGAGGGGAGCATATATACCCCTTATATATTGTAAATGCTCATTATCACTTAGGCCATAGAAAATACAACTGAGAGGGGGGGGGGGCAGTAGTCCCTGGGGGTCATATTATTACACATTCATGTAAAAGTTCTTTTTTATACAGGTAGCTTAATCTCCATTATCATATCACTTACCTTGCTCTCTCTGCCATCTCTGTGCCTTTCCACCTTGGACTGTAGGGATATGTAGATTTCTTCATGCTATATGGCAATCCATTCAGTTCATGGTAAACAGAGTGAAATGTGAACGTGGGGCAGTCCTGGGGGAAGCTCCTTGGAATATCAACTGGAAATGCATCAGATGTGTAGACTTAAGTATGGTACAGCATACATACTGAAGAGTGAGACAGCTCAGTACAAGTTTGATAAATGACATATTGTTTTGGCTCGGACAAGGGACTAAGTCATCAGTCCTTTACTGAACCAATCAAAGGAAACTGAAGGAGTGACACAATTGGTGGACCATTAGATCTTAGGAAGGGAGAAAAAATTGTTAGTTGCAAAATAACAAGGCATTAACATTCCATTTGTTACAGACACTCAACACTGACCACCATCCACAAAAAAGTTGGAAACTGACATAATAATGAAGTATCCGTACATGACAGGTCTAGTTGTTAGGAAAAATATTTTAGATTTGAAATTATTTTCTGGGTTCAGTTGAAAAATAAAAAATGTCTAATGTTTATATTCATAAACAAGTTATTATTTATTTGCATGTACATTCACATAAAAACACAATTTAACATGTTATATGATGCTCCAATCCACCCATTTACTTGAGTCAGTTACGATCAACTTGAATAGAAAAAGTTGACTTTATTAATGTCATGTACTTACTTGAGACTAGAAAGGAAAAGTTGCGCCAGTCAAACAGAAAAGTCAATTTGGAGAAACTCTCTGTGTCATACTCCTGAACGGACCTAGAAAAAACCCCAAATAATTTCAGCAAATTTTCAAACATTCTTACTAACGAATCAAACTTCTATTTACATACGAATACTTGTTGCAAACAATGTGCTACCCAGTAATATTTATCAACCTCGGATTACAATAGTACTTTAAACCCACCTGCCATAGTGACTGAGGAAAGCTGATACATACTCCTTCCTCTTCTCATAAGTCTCACAGGTCTGATCCACCTACATACAAAAAACACATAATGATGAATATTGCACTCCACTCGTTATTGAAAAATTCAAAATGGCCACCAAGTAATTTACCCAGCATGCCCAAATTCTTGACACTTAAAGTCTGCTTTTGCAATAGATAAGCAGTTTTCCTGGAATTTTGATGACAAGATTTATGTGGTATCTACCTGTCCAGACAGAACACAACCATCGACAGAACAAGTTGACAACAATATAGAACTGTGAATAAGTGCAATAAAAAGCAATACACTCTAGCCTGCACAGTTGGCTCAGTGACAGCAAGTCTACCTTGGGTGTATGAGGTCCAAAGTTCAGAATCAAGTTCATGTCAAAATGTTTGACACACATTTATGAAGAAAAGCATTTGGCAGAGTGGACCATATCTCCTATACAACCAAGTTGTAGTGTATACATGTACTGGTATGTCTAATAAGTGAAACTGAATATGATTTCTTAAAGGTTATCATCCAACAAATAAGAATTGTCACCATTTTATTTGAATCAAGGATTTAATTTTTTACATTGACTTACCTTATTAGTGAGCAGTGTTTTGATGCTGGGGACATAGTCTATCATACATCCATTGCTAGGGAAACTTGGTATTCTTAGTCCAGCTGATCCTCCAAGAGCTCTGTAAACAAAGTGCATTGTAAAACAATTGATTGACACTAACACCTGCTAAAACAGATTAAAGGTAATCACATTTAAAGTGACTAGTATATACCCCCTGTCCAGGTCACAGACCATGTTTATGTTTAATTGAATATTAATATAAAAAATTGTTCACAGACACAGGTTTTGATAACATGGAAGTCAAGGGGACATCCAGAATATCTTAAAAAACGTTCACATTTCAAACTGTTCACTTTATAGAGTTTTCACATGAATAAAACAAACAGAAATTAATGCTATGCTCAAAACCAAATTGTCAGGAAATGTAAAGAAATAGATTGATTGATCTATTAATTAATCTTTTATTATCCAATAGACGATATGATCTCTGAGACAATAAATGAATTGATCTGTGTAAACATATGATACAATCAAGTTCTTTGATCCTTAAATCAAGTGACTAATAGACCGATCTGCGAAGCGATGGATTACTCTGTACTTACACTTCCACCCTGGGGGAGAGATAGAGCTGTGATGTGACCCTACCACCCTCAGATGACGAAAAGTTCACCAAGAGGACCGCAGAGTCTTCACCAGGATTATCCTGGAATATGATATCCGCAATGTTAGTATTATATCTCAATTGAAATATTTAGTTCTGATTGGTCAATGGTTTTGTTTACATATTCATTGCTGGTTAATACTGGTTGAGTGTGATGTCACACCATGATTTAGTATTGGGTATATTTTCCAATATTTTATGATTCTGTACAACATGCTTTAAACAATCAAAATGTACCTAGTATCCCTAGCAATGAACTACCAAAACAAAAAGTTTATTCCGCTACCATTAACAATAATATTCAGAAATAAAAAACATATTTTAAATAATACTGACCTTTGTCAAATAGGCTGGAATCCTTGAGAAATCAACATCGAGTTTGATAAGAAATGATATTGGGCCTATTTTATATTGTCCTTTTTTCATAACATGCACCTCTATCGCATCTTTCCCTAGCTCCTCTGCAATAGACTGATATTCAAACTTTAATCTTGACTCTGCTTCAATGAGATTGTGTTGGTACGATTTGTACTGGTCTAACAGCTCTTGTACTACATATAATAGTGACTTCGGATCTGTATGGTCCCATTCTAGAAGACTCTGTAAATATGTAAGAATATATTATAACTGACTTGTCGTTATTATCCATCCATTATTAGAGGAATTAATAATTCAAAATGATATGTTGTTTTATCTCCAAAAATACCAGAATATCAGAAATCCATGAGAATAAATTGTTTAATTTGACGGCCATTTTAATTTAGCGGATTGAACAAAACAGTTAGTCTCCGCCAATTTTTTGAAAAATCACTGTACTATATAGCTAGACCTCAAACATCTGCATTTTACTGATGGGTCTGTCATTTCACCAAATGAAATAGCAGCCAAACATTCAAAAATTTGCCCAATCCGCCAAATTAAACGGTGCCAAATTAAAGTAATTTACAGTACTGAATTTTTACCTCATCTACCAAATGTTTAAAAATATGTGTAAGGACAAAAATCAAATACAATATATTGACCATCAACAATCTGCAGTGTCAAGAGATAGAAATTAAAGCTTCGATGTTGATATATTACACATAATGAGTTTTAACCCATAAAAAATAGCCCCAAGAATAACATGCTGAAAAACTTAAAATGATTAAAATAGAGAAAGAGTAATTTACAAGTAAATATAAATCAAACGGCCATGAGGATGTAAAGTATAGTACCAAGATCAGATATATCAGATAAAAGTTATTTTTAAGGTTGTGTCAATATACCAGTGCAGCTAAAAATTACATAATTAATTTGTTGGATGGTGTGGAGGGAGGTGATGGGGGTCAAGAGAAACTTTGAAACCATTGATGTTTCCAATATAAAACTTATATTGCTTATATCACTTATATCGTTTTTGAAGTTATTATTTGAAGAGCAGTTTCAAAATGGGAGGGGAGCTTTTGCATTGATATATTGACTCAACTCTAACAGTGTATATAAGCATGCAATGAATTACATTCAAATGTTTTGGGGTGTCTTACAGAAAAACACAGTAAAAGATGATAGCAATAAGATGGCAGTTATTCTGTTGTTTGATAGCAGTAACAGTTTATGTTCTACTTTGTACATTGTTTTATTCAAATAAAATTGATAAAAGGGACCAAAAATTGAAAACTGAAGGATATATACACACCACAAAGACACATGCAACTCAACGAGTGCTTCGATATTTTGACAATGTTGTTAAGAAAAATGTCTTTCTTGTGGGGTATGATAATCCGGAAGAATGCGACGATGATCCTCTTTGCCTTATAAACATGAAGAGACCTCCCAAGGTCAAAAAAATGAGGCAAAAACGCTTCAAAAAACAGAACAGGAATTAGTGACAATTGTTTGTAAAACTATGAACAGATTGGACCTTGTCAAGCGAATGATTGAGTCAGTCTGGAATTACTACCCAAAGACTCAAGTTATCGTTGTTGACGATTATTATAAAGATTATTTAGCTGACGTTCTATGGCAGGAATTTTTAACCAATCACAGTATTGTGGATTACGTTCAGCTTGGTGAGAATGCTGGTATAAGTCATGGTCGAGAGATTGGTGTTAGTTTAGTGACAACAAAGTACTTCATGCAAATTGATGACGATTTTGTCTTCACTGATAATACAAATTTAACCAAGTTAATCGATGTATTAGAGACTACAGATCTAAGCATTGTGACTGGTGACTACAAAAATATGATGTTTACAGGGATACTAAAAGTACATCAAAATATCGCACAGAAGAAAGGCAAACAGACAATGCTGTATCATTTCCCAGAAACAGCCCATGGTCTTATACCTGGGTTTAAAAACTGCTATAGTGTTGATCTTGGGCCTAATATATACCTGGCTAACACAGAGCATATACGATACATCAAACCATGGGATCGTGAACTTAAAGCACAAGAACATACTGATTTCTTTCTCGTAGTCCTAATAGCGGGACTTAAAGTAGGAGCGTGCACTGATGTTCCCCTCAAGGAGTATGGAGTGCCGGACAGACTCAAAACTCGGGCAAAGTATCCAAAAAAGGGTGTTTACATTATGAACTATTTAAGAAAATGGAAAATTACTGAATGGTTCAAACAATGTAGTCCCAAACAGTATTATTCTAAAGAAATGGACAATGGAAAATGCAAATGGAATAGCACATATCAATTCTTTGATGGAGATCCAAACATACTTCATAATATACTTATTGACAGAAATTAATAAAATATAACATGTAATTATCAAATTTTGAACATAAAGTCAGCATCATTGATAATTTAAATAGAGATGAATATTCTATCCAGTTTGACTTAATAGAAAATGCCTAGTCTTTTGTGTCACATATCACCAGTTTGACATAAAAAAATGGAATAATGTGACCAGTGTGATATAACAGAGTGAGATAAATGTGGCCAATGTGACATTTACAGAGTGGAATAAATGTGGCCAGTGTGACATTAACAGAGTGGAGTAATTGTGACCAGTGTGACATTAACAGAGTGGAATAATTGTGACCAGTGTGACATTAACAGAGTGGAACAATTGTGACCAGTGTGACATTAATGATAAATATAACCAGTGTAAAATCAACAGAGTAGAATACATGTGACAAGTGTGACATAACAGAGTGGAATAAATGAGCCAGTGTAACATTTTTAAGAAAATGTGACCAGTGTGACATAAAAGAGTAAAATAAATTTGACAAATGTGACAATATGAGTTGAATAAATTAGACCAGTATGACATTACAGAGTGAAATAAATGTGACCAGTGCGACATTATAAGCATGTGCATGTACTCACAACAAGATTGAATAAATCTGGCAGAAAGAACTGCTCATCATTGCCAAATATGAAATCTGGTGGCTCTTCAGGGTAACAACTGTTGAACAACACTTCCCCTAGAAGTAGATAGAACATGACATTTGAAATTATTTTTTAACAAGATGCTGAATAATAATCATTATTTAGTACTATATTTTGGGCATTTAATGCATTGCTACCCCGAGCACACAGTGCAAACAGGGTACAGTCTGTTGAAAATCTGACATTTTACCTACCTGAAAATCTTTGAACCTTGCCAAAATGCTGAAAAGATCATGTGATATTTTGACCATAATAGGTAAAATTTATTGAGCACCCTGTTAAGAAAAATCTTGGGAATGTAACTGAAATGTTGTTCCTATCAAGCCTGAGTGGAATGAATCATTAAAATCTCTTCGCACATTGCAAAATATTTTCTATGAAATCACCTAAAAGATACGAAATCACTAAAGGGAAATATTTTAAATGAAACTTTTTGCAAGGGTCAAGTTGGCATAGCATCAATTTCAATCTGTAGAGTCAAGCTGTCACCTTGACAACCATTATACGAATGACTTTGGGTGTGGTGATTGACTTTATAATGCAGTGAAGTTATATTAAATACTGTGTTTGGATTGGCTGGAATCAGACACACCTTGCCTACCTATGTGTGAATTCTTGATATGCAGTGTGCACTATTAGACTTACATGTTATGGAATGACCCCCATACGGTAGTAGCATTTTGAACCGATCACAGCATGGTCCCTTCTCTACCTGGAGTGTGTTGCATCTGAAATTACACATCAATAATTTGAATAGCCTTTGCTTGTTAAGTTATGAAAACTTCTTATAAAGTTTAGCATGGTGATCATGTGTGCATCCTAAAGGCTGATCGCATAGTTATTATATTGACCAATTATATTTGAATCATATTACATTAGCTAAAAACTAACAGTGCTTGTCAAAACATTTTACAAATTACCATGTTTTGTTTGTTTTATTTCATCAAGCAAAAATCAGGAATTTTTAACAGAGCTTCCAAATAATCCAATATGTTCAAACTTGAGGCTTGTTGATTAATTGTTGAAGTGCAAACAGTACAAGTCGTCCAACATGCTAGCATTGAGCATGTTATAAAATGTCAGGAATGAAAACAACATCAAACATGCAAAGCTAAAGGAAGAAAAAGATGTTTGGAGAACCAATAAAAGGTAAGTGAAATAATTTAGCATTTTGTTCCAAATTATTGCAGAAGGTAATTTGTAACCATGAAATGCAGGCAGAGATTTTAATCTCTAAAAATTTGAGTGACAAATTGACCTTCAACGAACATCAATGGCTGATACTATTGGGTCGTTGACCAACTCAAGATATACGGATATTATAAATGGTTGTGATAGGCAAAAGAACTGATAGCCCTTTGTATTTGATTGGACAATTGTGATGACGGTATGAAAAATCAAAAACTGTGTTGACAGGTTACAGAAAATTAAATGATGACGCTCAAACTGTGATGACAGGTAGCAAAGAATAAGATGGGGACACTATTTTGAATACTTTTGCCAGTAAAAGTGCCAGTCTTGGTCTATCATTCACTCTAATTATTTTATATATGATGATATCTTTTATAATTGAACGTTGAAGTGCTTTAATAACTGATGACGGGTATGCAGACTGAGATGATGAATATGGGACCGAGATGACGGGTGACACACATGCATACATTAGTATGTATCCAACAGACTGACTAGAAGTCAGTCTGTTATGATGTACTACTTTCCTGTGGAAATTGCAGTGAAATTTTTTGCACAAAATTATCAATTAGAGGAACCATTTATTCAATAAAATAAACATTACAAAATGTCAACTAAATAGTAAGGTACAACTAAATGCAATAAAAAGTAACACAGCATATTTTCAAGTGGAAATAAAGCTAGTTGAAGTAACAAATTTGCAAATTAATTTTACCCAATCGGCCATTTTGAATAGCACTTCCTATGTAAACAAATACTTTGGATTACCAAACTTTAACATAGGTGCCTTATAGTCTGAATATAATTCAGACTAAATAGGATATAGTCTAATGCATACATGTACTCATGTTGAACTGATTTGATGGACGGGTATTTTCAAGCAAAGTATAATAAATTACCCAGATGTGATATCGGTTAATCTTATGTTTCCTTCACAAATACCAATTTTTCCTTCAGTCAATAGACACTCTACATAATTCCCTATCTGCGGCTCAAATTTCCCGATAACACTAGCTCCCATTATTTAGAAATCGTACTAATCGTCGAAATTGTGGATTTATAAATTTCGTCCCGGAAGTAAAATTGCAATCTCAAATCGAGGCTGATAAAAAATGAAAAATCGGAATGTAAGTTCTCTTTCTATCATGTACGTTTAACATAGTTTTAAAAGCGCTTCCGCATAGATAGAGTGCATTTATTTTATTTGGGATACTGATCAATATTTCTGCATTTGAAATTTATTCTTTGATCGCATAAATAAGTGAATAAACTGTCGACAAATATTGAAAAAATGTTGGTGGGTGATAATAACATAGCCAGGCATGTCCAAAAGTGTAAGCAATATTTAGCCAAGCATATGGAGTTACTAATTGCAAAAATGAGTATTTCTGGGTATTTATGGACGTCGAAAACATTTATAGGCTAGATATTATCCAAGAGATGAAATCAAATATTTTTCAAGTTGCTTGTTGATGATGTCAGGCATGACACATTACTCGGACTCTTCATCACAAATATGTTGTATATGGGTTTGTGTAAAAACCTGGGTGGCTGTAACAGGGTGACTTGGTACTTAATGTTCCTAGCAGGGTTAATTATTTTTATTTTATGCCTAAAAATGCGCCAATGAACAATCTAAGTGTAACAACCCTAGGTGTTGTATTGTGGGGTTTGATTTCAGACTTGCCAACCTAAAATGAACAATTTTCGGGAGATTTAAAAAAAATTGTGGTACTTTTACGGGAGTTTTTTTCAAAATCCGGTAGCTTTTTGGGGTTTTTTTTGAAAAAAAGCGGGAGTTTTTACGGTAGATTTTTGAAAAAAACTGTAGTTTTTACGGGAGATTTTAAAACACGGGAGTTTTTGCGGTAAATTTTGAAAAAAAACGGGAGTTTTTACTGGAAGTTTTGAAAAAACAGGATTTTTTACGGGAGATTTTTTAAAAAAGGTATTTTTCGCGGTAAATTTTAAAAAACCTAATTTTTTTACGTAAGATTTCAGAAAAAACTGGAGTTTTTGCTGTAGGTTCTGAAAAACGGGAGTTTTTACGGTAGGTTTTGAAAAAACTGGAGTTTTCGCGGTAAATTTTTATAAAAAACGGGAGTTTATATGGTAGATTTCTGAAAAACGGGAGTTTTTACGGTAGATTTCTGAAAAAACTGGAGTTTTTACGGTAGATTCTGAAAAAACTGGAGTTTTTACGGTAGATTTCTGAAATAACGGGAGTTTTTACGGTAGATTTCGGAAAAAACGGGAGTTTTTACGGTAGATTTTGAAAGAACGGGAGTTTTAAGGTAGATTTCGGAAAAACGGAAGTTCTTCGGGTAGGTTTCTGAAAAACAGGTGTTTTTACGGTAGATTTTGAAAAAACGTGAGTTTTTACGGTAGATTTTGAAAGAACGGGAGTTTTAAGATAGATTTCGGAAAAACGGAAGTTCTTCGGGTAGGTTTCTGAAAAACAGGTGTTTTTACGGAAGATTTTGAAAAAACGTGAGTTTTTACGGTAGATTTCTGAAAAAACGTGAGTTTTTACGGTAGATTTCTGAAAAAAACTGGAGTTTTAAGGTATTAAATCCAGCGATTTAATTGGTTGAAATTATTATGACGCATGCGCAGTTAATAAATTAATTAGAACTTATAATCTAAGATAGATGTCACTAACGTTCATTACAGCAGTCCCTACCCATAATGCGCCTTATATTGCGGGAATATTTTGTTTAGCGCCATATAAAAACAAAATGTATTCTCCCGACAGAAGTATGACAGAATATGAACTGCCCCCCTTTTGTGGACATTTGGTGTGCAAACTTATACCGAACTGATCGCAGAAAAGCAATTTGAATCATGGGAATGAAGTACTTCTAAGTTATTTATGAAAGTATCGATAGTGAACCATGGGAGTCAATCCTTCTTGGAGTAAAAGAAAGAAGCGTGCCTGCAATAATCAAGGTCACAAATTTGTCAAATTCCTTCTAAATAAGGTAGATTTCGACAGCAAAAACGGAGATTTTACGGGAGTTATACCAAGAATACGGGAGATTTTACGGGAGTATACCAGAAAACGGGAGATTTTACGGGAGTTATACCAAGAATACCGGAGATTTTACGGGAGATTTCAGCAAAAATACGGGAGATTTTACGGCAATATTTTTAAAAAAATTACGGGAGATTTTAGTGGAAATACGGTACGGGAGTTTACGGGAGTTTTTACGGGAGAAAACGGTACGGGAGTTTGGTATTTTTTACGGAAAAACAAAAAATTTACGGGAGATTCCCGTAAAAAAACGGGAGGTTGGCAAGTCTGGATTTAATAATAAGGGTTCAAACAAAACATATTAGTTTGAGCATGGACTTTCAATCTAGTTGAAAGCCCATGGTTTGAGGTCAACAATAATCAACATTACTATATTGTTTAGTAATAAGTCATAAGATACATGAACATGTTACATAACAATAAGAAATGCGTACAAGTACAACTCATGAAACCTCAATGTGATTAATCTAAAGTACAACACCAGCCTTTATGAAACTCAGAACTAAGACTACTGTAGATACTGATACACGATTGGTTGACAAATGACAATAATTTTAGCTTGACCACAAAATGAAGACCTTCAGAGATAACTGAGAAAATATACATACTAAGACCCAAATCCATTACACAAGCAACCAACCACCAAACTGACCTAGTATGTATCAAACAGACTGAATAATATTCAGTCTAAATTGATTCATGTGAAGGATACAGGCAACCAACTGATCACCCACTCAACATACAGTTGTACCAGTCATCCAAATAATCAACAACCAACTAATCTACCAATAAACAAAGCAATCAGCAAACCAAACAATTATCAATATCCTTTGAAACACTAAGGCAATCAACCAAGCAACTAACATCATTGCACGTTATTTGACAGATAACAACAGCAATTTATGTTTCAGTATACTGCCAATGGCTGAGGTCCGGGAATACATCTCTTAGAATGTTTAAACACCTCAGAAGTATACGAGTTAAAAGAACATTTATAGAAAATATGTTAACATATTTCACTTTACCATGTGCCAGGTGCATATTTCATGTATCCAGTTAGCAATTGATTAGTAACTATTATAGGGGGAAATGTAACCAAGTCACCTGGTCACCCTGTTACCTGGCCACCAATTAGTCTTTCATACAAACCAGACAAAATTGATTAAAGTAAGATTTGATTTGATTGTAGAGCTTTGAAGATCACATACATATAGAGATTCCCACAACAGGAAGTGAATTGGCTAATTGGCATGATGAATTTCCAGGCGTGTCTCAATAAGATAACAACACTAAAGCTATGCAGGTGCCACTTAGTCCAGTCTCAACAGGTATATTTTTATTAAGTCATAAGTCCAGTGTAGATGTAATATCATGTTCAGTGTATACATTGTATTTAATTAATACTAAATATGATATTAGGCAAGTGTTATTTAATCCATTCTAATATTATATCATGCAAGTGGCACTAAGTCTACTGCAGGTAAACAGGTGACATCATCAACAGATGGACCTGTCTCAAGGGGTAAAATAGCAAATTTATTACATCCAAGAGAAAAATACTTTATTTAAATGATCCATTCCCTTTAACAGGTTGGCATGAAATGGTAGATCATAATCTTTCTATTTGTCAGGTTGCCACCATTATGAGTGATGCATTGCCTCGAATAACAGTTCCACATAAGATGGTAGAAAGGTTAGAAAAGATGAAGCAGAAGCAGCAAGAAACAATGAAAAAGAAATCAGTGAAAAAAGACAACCCTATAATAATATCATGTAAAAGGAAACAGTTTAATCACTACAAAGGACAGTTGTATACAAACTGGTCTCCCCAGTCATTAACGTCACATGGCTGGAAAAATAAACGAAACAAAGGAGACTATTTTACCATCAATGCTTTTCAATCTGTAAGTTGACTTTAAGGATTTACCATAAATTTGGCCAGAGTGTACATACTATATGCAAACATGAATGTAAAGTTTATAAAACATGGAAAGAAATATATTGTTCATTAAGGGAAAACAGTAATTGTATAAAAATTGACCACAATATATGTCTAAGTGATTTTTTGTCTGCTTTTTAGTTCAGCAAAATGATGACACTGATTTTATAAATGTTACCCCTAAAAGTAGAACAATTTACATTACAACGTTTGGTTGGCTGAAACTACGTTTTATTTTTTACTTCAGAACCCAGCATTTAGGAACAAAACTGAGGATGGCATGACATTCAAGAATATGGAGTTGGATGATTCTATACAACAGGGACTGGGGGACATGGGATTGGAGTACCCCACTAATATACAAGAGATGTCTATACCCAAGATCCTCAGCGGTAGTAATGTACTCTGTGCAGCTGAAACAGGTATTACATGATATATAACACTTACATGATATATAACACTTACACGATATATAACACTTACATGATATATAAAACTTACACGATATGTAACACTTACATGATATATAACACTTACAACTCTGTGGGTTTAGTGTTATATCACTCAACTTGGTCAGATAGAGGATGTCCAATTAAAGTGAAAGTGAAATTGCTAAATCAAAATGGGGGACACAATGTTTATAGAAACAGTTCTAACTAGAGTAAACACAAAGTTCTGTCATTGAAGCTTGGATATTGGGAAGGAATATATAAAGAAAATGTAGTAACATATTTTACCATACCATCCGCCTATTCATTCAGGAATTCAATAGTAAACTTTCTCTTGAATTTTCTTGCAGATATTGCCTGCTTCCCCCTCCGTGCCATTTTTCCTATCACCGGGCGTGAATATCAACCTGAATAAAAAAATCATCCTACAGTATATCCTTGTGTTTCATGTGTTCTTTTAAAGGCTGTGGTAAAACTTTAGCCTACCTGGTACCAATCGCACATCACTTGAAGCGTTATATTGATAGATATGGCAGACATGGCACTCCTAACAAACCTTGTTCAGTCATCATTACTCCTTCAAGGGAACTCGCAGACCAGATATATGTGAGTGTCCTTTTTTAAGGTTATGCTTTATTTATTAATACAATTATTGTACAATGTCCGACAATGGGCCAAGTGAGTGTCCTCGACATGGTTTTTAAAGTTAATGTGGATGTTAGTGCAATAAGAGGCTTTTTAAGTAACAGATTTAGAGAGCCATCCTTTATAAATTGAAAGAAGCTCTCATTTCATGGGGAATTATTTTGAATCTATTGGAAATGTTGTGCAAAACATCAAAATTGTAATGTAATTAGAAAATCATTATTTGTAAAGTAAAAGTGGTTAACTTTCAATATCATGAAAATCATTATTTATAGATCAAAACTTTTTTCTCTTTGGGCATATTTTACACTTAATAAAATGGACACAACATGTTATAATTTTAGGATGTTGCCTGTAGGTTGACAGCCCATACAGGTCTACTGGTCCATTCTGTGTGTGGGGGCAGGGGAACAAAGGTAAAAGACATTGCAAATCAAGCCTAACAGATTGTCACTTAGATATTATTAGAAAAATCAGGAAAAACATGATCTATTAATACTGTTCTCAGTTTGCATATCGTTTCCCAATATTAAGAGTTACTTTTTCCATTTTTCTTTTATAATGCAAAAATTCTCTTATGTATAAAAAACCTTTTAAATCTCAAATGAATATTATATTATTGCATTTTCTACAGAAACTAATTTATGGCAACAATGAGAAGTTAATGGACATACTAATTGCCACTCCGGATGTGCTTCGCAAATTGACAGGGTCTAGTAAGTATTTTTCTGTTTTATTTCTTATTTTTAAGTGAGGCCTATTAAAACAAATGCTGGCAAGTTTTGCAGTTTTGAAATGGAAAACATTGTTGGTCTGATGAAAGAAAATCTTTCAAAAAAAGAAAAAGGATTTTTTTTGAATGAAACCAAAAGATTCAATTATTGTAATATATCTCATACATATAATCCAATATTATAGTTTTATATTAGAAATGAAAGAATGTATCACTATTGTACTTTCTAGAGCAATATGACGTATCAGGGGTGCACCATATAGTGCTGGATGAGGGAGACTCCCTATTGGATGATAGCTTCATTGACGTCACACGGACACTGCTGAATAGACTCAAGGTATGAAGTTGTCAATAGCCTGAATTATTTCAATTTTCCTTGTCTGGACCACTTCAATGGATTTGCACCTGTTTTCTGCCAAAGCATTTTAATGAGTGTACTTGTTAACAGATGTAATGATTTCTTAAGGTTTCAAGTATAATGTTCTTAAGATCTAAGATCTTACTCTATTAAACTGTATAACATAATGCTTCAAAAAATGTTTCAATGTACATAAGGGGATTCCTCCATTGACTTAAATGTGCTGATCTCCTTGTCCACTAATTAGCAATATCTTTATTCTTCAACTCTTCATGGCTGTTCACTTGAGGTAGTACTTTCATCATTTTATTTGGTGTAGCCTGCCAAGACAATGAATCATTAAATCAAGTAACAGTAGAGATATGAATTTCGTATCAGCCTTCAGTGAAAGTTTTACCTGTGTGAGTTTGATGAATGTCATATTCAAACATTGTATAAACCATATTTTGTATTTGCAGGTACAGGGGGACTCTATCACAAACATAGGGTCTGAGTCTGACCTTGCCTTGCCATGTGGCCAAGTATGTATAGTAGGTGCCACTCTACCTCGGGCACTAAATGACACAATAGGAGATGTCATTCCTGTAAGTAATTTATTTTATCACACTGTTTCTTTATTTGTTGAATACCCTATTTGGCGTAATAAGCGCCCAGGCACTTTTGAAATTGAAATTCCCATTGTAAACTATTACAAAGAGCGCCCATATATCAGAGAAGTCAAAAATCCCCAGGAATTTCATGTATGGGAATTTTTCTTGCCAAAAATCTTTTTATCACAGAAAAGTGAACTTAAATTTTTACAGATGCAAGAGTAGACTTGTGTTAAGATCTGATTTGATTTTGGGCATGCTTGGTAAATTATATGGCAGCCATTTTGCTCTTGAAAGTGCTGTGTGTCTTGTTGCTTTGAATATATTTCATCTTCTTGCTGTATATTTTTTTAATTATTAATATTCGTGGTCGTGTTATGTTAAGAGGGGAAGTCTCACTTGCTATCATCATGTTCTCAGGCAAACGGAAGTAGCTTCAAATTGGTATTTCATATTGCAAATGTGTGACAATTACCAACTGTGCATGTACATATTTTCACATGGACTTTTCAAAAATAATCTAATATTAATCTATTTAAAAGTAATGAAATCATATGTTACTCTTTCCTTTATTTTTCAAGGTGGACACCCTGGAGGTAGTTAGGACAAATAGCTTACACAGAATCATGCCTCACATCTCGCAGAAATTCATCAGACTTGGGCCGAGTGAAAAACCAGGTAGATATAACAACGTCATCATTTACAAAGCATGTTCATTTCAAGCTATTTTGTGATGAGTGTGACCAGCTAGGAAGAAAAATTACACGTGGTGTTTTACAAAATAGCAAAGCATGACTTATGACTTTATCAAGCATGGATATCACATTCCTGTGTACATTCGTTTATAATCATTTGTTACAGTATGGCTGGTGAAACAGGCAAAATCGGCAGTAAAGAACAAGATTCCAACTTTGATATTTTGTAACAAGACAGACACATCTTACTTTGTACATCATATACTAAGGGACAGTGGGATAGAGACGAACATTATCAATGGAAAAGTTCCAGAAAAGGTAAGATTGATCGAGGGTCAGACTGATCCATTAAGTCAAATTCTGTTAGATCAATATTTATTGATATAAAAGTTGAGTGATGAATGTATAAATCACAAAAAGCTACTTGTATCGTAAATTCTGATTTTTAAGCCATCCATACAATACAAACATATTTACATCACACTTCCCTTTTTGCAAAAGGTATGTCTTTTGTATTCATTTAATTTATGTATGATGAATTCTAAATAAAAAAACTGAAGATGACAAGATACAGATCAGATAGTTTAAGGTTCAGTGAAAAGAAAACAAAATTATGGTGACCTGATTTTACAAAAAAATGATTCTCTTTGTTTTTAGATAAGACAGGGCAAGTTTGAAGAGTTTCAAAGAGGAGAGGGGCCAAATATACTTGTATGCACAGATATAGCATCAAGAGGCTTGGATACC